TGGGTTGGGTTGGGTTGGGTCGGGTTAGGGGAGTTTTTTTGGACCAACCCGAATTTTTGGGTTGGATAGATTTGAGAACCGGCAGAACCGAACTTGACTAACAACCCAACCTAACCCTTATATTTTCGGGTTGTATCGAATCGGGTTGCTGGGTTGAGACTAAATGAGGGGARGAGTGCCAAACAAAACAACCAGAGAGGGAGATTAGTATCGAAGAAAAGCCAACCCAATGCTCAAATTGCAGCGGTCATCGAAGGAGGATGGAAAGGGGAAGGGGGGATAGCAAAGATGAGGGATAGGGGCGTGAAAGAGTCTTTGTCCCCGTCGAAATCGAGGGTTTAGGGTTCCATCGAGAACAGAGATTGAAGATTTGCATATGAGAGAAGGGGATCAGAACGACGAAGAACAAATTGTTAGCGAAATCAGAGAAGACGATATCGTAAGTGTTGGGTGTGTTGCCCTAAACTCGTAGTTTGTATTTTGTAAAAACAAATGTCTATTTAATAAAGTTTTATTCAATAAATTTGTTGTTGAATCATAGCTTTGCATTATCCAAAATCCAATAAACTAAACATCCAAGGTTATTTGTGATGTAATCGGGACAGTATATATACTGGGTATATAGTTGATATACGGGGTATATATTTGATATACCCCTGATATATGAATGGATAATATCTCGTCAATAACCTAAAGAGTCTATAGTATATGGATAAGGCTGGGTACCTTATCCTGGCAACACTATGGATACGGCCCGCTCTGTTAAGGTTACAGACGACTCAATCCAGGTCGTTCGTGTGAAGACATGCGAGTGGGGGTATCCTATACAATGAGTTTGTATAAGACCGGACCGCGAAATAGGCAATCTTTAGTTGTAACACTGTTAACTAATAGATTGTCATTTCTTAGGATGACCGGGCAACTCATTCTCAATCCTGAGTGAGTTATGACTCCTGCCCGTGAGGGCTCGTCCTTTGATCTGTATGGGTGATAGTGGCCCGAGTCGCCGACTCAACATTCCTACCATTTTGGGGACGAGACCGAGTGGGGAGCTGGGAACATAACTTCACAAGATGGAATTCACTCCTCCTCAACTTTAGGGGAGTAGATGAGTGTTCCCTTGAGTGCTGACTCCGGGACTTGAACAAGGGGCCCCACCCTCTCATTGGCCGAGAGGGACTTCCGGTTATTGGTTGGACCATAACTGGGTTGTTCATTAGATGAGCAGTGGTGTTTAAGGAGTAAGATGTAACTCAGGGGTAAAATGGTAATTTGACCCAACTTGAGTTACGAACACTCGTGAAGGATTGACTCGTCATTAATGGTCATATATCCATGGACACGAAAACATTCTGCAGTGAGAAGAGTGCAACTGCGGGTCTTTAGTGGAATGACCCGTAGTTAACGAATCTAGATTAACTCGGTCAATGAGTTTGACCGATTAATCTTGCATCGTTGGAGCTTCGGGTCTATAGGTCCATTAGGTCCCCTTGCTAGCTTATAACGGGTAAAACAAGGATCAAGTTTTTGGAAGAATTTGAATTGTTCAAATTACTTAAGGGATTATATGTATATTGATACATTATAATATATAGTTAATTATAAATTAAAACTATATATTATGAGAGATATTATTTGAATGAGATTCAAATAAAATTAATATGAATGAGATTCATATTAAAACTATAGGTTAAAAATAATGTGCATAAGATGTACATTAAAACTATAGGTTATACGAGAGAAATGTTTTAGAATATGATTTTAATTTTATTATAAATAATTAAGTGTTAATTATTTATGTATATATATATTTATTAATTATTAATTGGATTAATAATTAATTGGATTAATTAATTTGATTAATTAATTTTATATATATTAATTATTATATATATTATTATATATATATTTTAATTATTATTATATATTATATATATATTAATATTAATATTAATATTATTATTAATATTAGTATTAAAATTAACTCTCCTGCAAAATTGCAGGGGAGTGGGAGGTTTTGTGACGTGGGGAGTTACCCCACGTCACCTTTCTTATTCTTCTCCAAGTGTTGGAGAATGAGACAGGAGGTGTTACARAACAGAACCAAGGAAGAATCTCCCACAACTCTCTCTCAAAATTCTCTCAAACTCTCCCTCTCTTCTATCAAGGTGCTACCACGAGCACGATCTCGAGACCTAAGAGGATAGCGAGGAAGATCCGGTGGTGGTGTTCGAGAGGAATTCACTGAAGAAACGATCTTCAAAGGTTTGAATTTCCTCTGTATTTTCCCTCAGTAAAATTCGATTTTGTATCCCGAAAATCAGCAACGAAAGTCCGCTTCCGCTCCGGGATNTTGCAAGATTACAAATCTGCCATGGGTGCCTCAAACATTCTAGTCATTTCTGTGTTCAACATCTCATTGGACAAAATATTTTGTTTCTGTATTCAACATCGACAAAATATTTTTTTATTTTCATTTTTCTTCCCTGTATTTTTAATATGCAATGGTAGAATTATAGAGAGATTGAAGAACTAAAAGAAATATAATTTTTATGAAATTATGTCTTAAGAAATTGGAGAGGTGGAAGTAATATTACTCATCACCAATAAATACGAAGATTATCATGGACTCCCATTTCTATTTCCTTTATTGCTTATAACTTATTAATTTTGTATGATGTTTAGTTTTTTGTCTTTTCTTTATGGGTTTCTTATTATTTTTAGCTTTTTTTCTTCTTTATGTATTTCAATTAAGAAGTCTGATAAGACCTAGAAACATGATTAGCCCTCCCTCTGAGGATTTTAAAGAGTGTAAGTATGATAATAATAATTAACAAAGTAAATGATAATGAAAAAGCAAAAGTTTGATTATACCATAACAAATCATTGTATCTTTAACTCATTATTTCAAAAAAAAAATACAAAAATAAAAATTTTCTTAATTAAGGTTATTTTGGACCTACACATCAAAAGGTTGTAAACAATGTAAGCCTAAGCGTGAAATAACAACACAGGAGCAAATAATAACTTCAAATAGTTCAAATAATTTCAGTTTAAACAAAATAAAAAAAAATAAAAAAAAAGTAGCAGCTTAAGATTGTGTGCCAATAGCTTAACTTGGGCCAATAGTTGAATCTACTCCTGCTCTATCACCCTGTAGGTACAGTAAGCAAAATAATTATAATTAAAAAAAAAGACAAAGTATATGAAAGAATGGTAACTTATCAATTGAGAAACAGTGAAGTCCATAAATGTATTCTTTCTTCTTTTTTGACCTCTCACATTTATAGGTCCCTTGCAAGATCGTGCATTATGGCCAACAACTTTGCACTCACCACACCTTATCGATGCAACTTGTTTCTCATCCGATTAGACGGTACTTGCTCGTCAACGTCTCTTCTTCATTGTCTCCTTGGTCTTCCTGGAGGTCTTATCAAAGTAGGTGGCTTAAGCCAGTCTCCTATGGTTATAGGCCACAATGTGGAGTCGTTCACTGATTCAACAGAATGAGTATATATTCTTTTTAAAGTTTCCTTGTGAAATGATTCATCAACAAACTCTTCAGACTCCTTTTTTAATATAATAGATACACCGAATAGAATTGGCACATGGGATTCCACTCAAATCCCATTTCCTACAACCACATGTTTTAGCCTCTAAATTTACAACATATTGGTTAGTATTTTCTTCAACTTCAAACATCATGTTTCCAGCCCACTATGGTATCAAGTACTAGACAAAGACTTATTCTTATACAATTTCAGTTGAATTCGTCTCTCTAATGGACCATTTATTTTAGAGTAAACCTCTGATTTCTTACTTATTCGGGTCATTACCAATTTTCTTATTATCTAAAGCATCTAGATTTTCGGCTTATCTCTTGCCTACATAATGAAAGCATTAAAGAACTCCAAAATATTGTTCAACAACATATCAAATTTTACCTCAACTCTAAATGCATGTCTAGACCAATATTTTGTAGGTATCCGATCCAAGTATTGGTATACATTTACATGCAGTTTTCCTAGTTCGACATTGCATCATTAAACTCTGACCTAGTCGTACATTTAGTAGCCCGCCAAAATGCTTTTTTAATAGCCATCTATTTGAAAAGCAACTCCGAGACATGTAACTCCGAGACATATGCACTCGTGGTTGAGAGTTTAAATAGATAATACTACAATTATCCAAAAACCATTTAAGAGAAGATACCTCCTTAAAACCAAAACCAAGTCTGTATTTATATAGAAACAAGATTCTATTTTTGGTTGTTTT